AATAGTTTATAATCTCCATTTTTATTTCCTCTTTGGCCCAAAGTTTATTAGATATATGTTTCAGTTTCCATGTATATAGATTTTTACTACCTTTTTGTTTTAAAATTTTCATGTAATTTTGTTGTGGGCAATGAATGTGGACATGTATATTTTTTCTTTTTGAGAACATATTAAAATTTCAATTGTGGCTGATTGCATTATCAATTTTTATGATTATCTGTTTAGAAAAAAAATAATTATTAGATATATGTTCCAGTTATATCCCTACATCAAGCTTGTTAATTAGGTTATTCAAATCCTCAATATCTTTAACTATTTGTCATGTCATTGTCCATTTCTGTGAGAAATGTGTTAATATATCTTTATTAATTTGTTTTTATTGGACTTTTCTTTACATATTTTGAAGTATGTTTTGGTATACAAAAGTTCATGATTATCATTTTTCTTGGTGGATTGGAAATTTTATGAGAGTGAAAGGGTTGACCCATTTAATGTTTTGCTATTTATTAATATTAACATATATTTCATCATTTTGAAGCATCTGTCTTGTATATATTTTCCTAAACTTTGATTTTATACATTCCTTATAGAAACTGGATAAATTGTCCTTTAAATGCTTCATTCATAAATATGAATAGACAACAAAAGATCTTCAGACTTTTTTCTACAGCTATAATTTTATTTTGATTCTTTAAAATTTCATTTTTCAGCTACAGTTGACATTAAATATTATTTTATATTAGTTTCAGCTCTGCAGCATAGTGGTTGGACAACCATATAATTTGCAAAGTGATCCTCTGATAGTTCAAGTACCCACCTGGCTATTACATAGCTATTACAATACTATTGACTATATTTTCTATGTTGTGCTTTCCATCCCTGTGACTATTTTGTAACTACCAATTTGTGCTTCTTAATGTCTTTACTTTTTTTCACCTGGCCCTCTCCCCTCTGGCAACTATCAATCTGTTCTCTGTGTCTATGAGTCTGTTTTAATTTGTTTGTTCGTTAACTTTGTTCATATAGTATTTGTCTTTCTATGTCTGACTTATTTCACTTAGCATAATATCTTCTAGGCTCATCCATGTTGTCACAAATGGTAAAATTTCTTTTTTTTGTGACCAAGTAGTAATTCCATTTTATGTATGTACCACCACTTTTTCAAATCCACTTGTCTATTGGTGGGCACTTGGGTTACTCCCATATATTGGCTATTGTAAATGCTGCAATGAACATAGGGGTGCATATATTTTTTCAAATTAATGTGTTTGGTTTCTTTGAATATGTACCCTGAAGTGGAATTGCTGGGTTTTAAGGCAGTTCCATTTTAAACTTTTTAAGGAACCTCCATTCTGTTTTGCACAGTGGCTGCACAAATCTGCATTCCCACCAACAGTGTACAGGGTTTTTTTCCCCTCCACATCCTCATCAACACTTGTTTGTTAATTTATTAATGATAGCCATTCTGACAGGTGTGAGGTGATATCTCATTGTGGTTTTAGTTTTCATTTCTCTGATGATTAGTGATATTGAGCATATTTTCATATGTCTATTGGCCATTGTATGTCCTTCTTGGAGAAGTGTCTTTTCAGGTCCTCTGCCCATTTCTAAATTGGATTGTTTGTTTTTCAGATGTTGAATGGTATTAATTCTTTATAAATTTTGAATATTAACCCCTTATCACTGGCGAATATCTTCTCCCATTTACTAGGTCTTCTTTTCATTTTGTTGATGGTTTCCTTTACTGTGCAAAACTTTTTAGTTTGATGTAGTTCCATTTGTTTAGTTCTTCTTTTGTTTGTGATATATCAGAAAAAAATATTGCTAAGAGAAATGTCAGAGTTTACTGTCTATTTTTTCTTCTAGGAGTTTTATGGGTTTAAGTCTTTCATTTAAGTAAAGATCTTCATATTTTTAAGGGAAGCCTTAGATTTGAAAGACAAAAGCAAAACAAAGGAAAAAAACAATGTGGTGAGCTGAAGAAAACTTTATACACTATACTTAATATACTGTATATTCAAAAAGGCAAGAAATTGTACTCACAAAATAAAAACAAGGGGTAGTAAAATGGCAACCTTACCTTACTAAGAATTGTAATTAAAATATGATAGCTGAAATTAAAATTTTTAGGCAGGATGGAAAATAATGAAAGTGGAACAAAATGTCAAAATTGGTAAGATGATAAAGGAAGGTTAAGAAAATCTGAAGATATTTCCAAGAGATCTCACATCCAAAACAAAAGAAAAATGCTCCAAAAAGAAAACAGAGAAAATGGAGGAGAAGGGAATTATACATCCCAGCAGAAAATTCTTGGAACTAAAGAACATCCGTTTTCAAAGCAAATACCATGTGCCCAGCACAGTGAGGATGGCAAAAGACTAACATGAGAATATGTTGTGATCAAATTTACAGTACAAAGTAAAAGAGAAAGATCTCAAAGCTTCTGAATCGAGGTAGATGTGGAATATGGAGGGCCTTCCATGTATCATTCAGAGCAACAACTTTTTAGTTTGATGTAGTTCCATTTGTTTAGTTCTTCTTTTGTTTGTGATATATCAGAAAAAAATATTGCTAAGAGAAATGTCAGAGTTTACTGTCTATTTTTTCTTCTAGGAGTTTTATGGGTTTAAGTCTTTCATTTAAGTAAGGATCTTCATATTTTTAAGGGAAGCCTTAGATTTGAAAGACAAAAGCAAAACAAAGGAAAAAAACAATGTGGTGAGCTGCAGAAAACTTTATACACTATACTTAATATACTGTATATTCAAAAAGGCAAGAAATTGTACTCACAAAATAAGAACAAGGGGTAGTAAAATGGCAACCTTACCTTACTAAGAATTGTAATTAAAATATGATAGCTGAAATTAAAATTTTTAGGCAGGATGGAAAATAATGAAAGTGGAACAAAATGTCAAAATTGGTAAGATGATAAAGGAAGGTTAAGAAAATCTGAAGATATTTCCAAGAGATCTCACATCCAAAACAAAAGAAAAATGCTCCAAAAAGAAAACAGAGAAAATGGAGGAGAAGGGAATTATATATCCCAGCAGAAAATTCTTGGAACTAAAGAACATCAGTTTTCAAAGCAAATACCATGTGCCCAACACAGTGAGGATGGCAAAAGACTAACATGAGAATATATTGTGATCAAATTTACAGTACAAAGTAAAAGAGAAAGATCTCAAAGCTTCTGAATCGAGGTAGATGTGGAATATGGAGGGCCTTCCATGTATCATTCAGAGCAGCAAGAATTAAAACGTCATTGGACTTTTCAGAAGCAGCAGTGGAAGTTAGGAAACAGTAGAACCGTGCCCTAATTTTATATAGTAGAATATTTTTCTCATTTCTAATTCCAAATCCAGCCAAAGTGTCCAGTCTAAGATAAAGACAATTTCAGTTATTCAAGGTCTCAAATGTATCTCCCAATGCACAGAACGATCCTGGAGGGCTTATTCCACTTCAAAGGAGTAAACCAAGAAGGAAGACTTTCGAACCAGAATGCAGATCTCACATGAAAGAGTCCCTGAAATGATACGGGAGTGGAGTCCTCTGATGACAGTTGCATAGTCAAACCAGAGCATAACCCGGACTAGAGCAGGGGAATGGAGAGCTCTAGGAAGGCTGTCTTCTGGAAAAGAAAAGATATGGAAGGATTATCTACTGGCTGTCAAGGTACTGAGAGAAGAGAATCAGACCTGTCAGATTCACAAGAAGTATCAGTGGTAGGTACACAGAGAACTGAGAAAGAAGAAAAGGAGATGGTCTTTAATACAGGGGCCAACAAAACATGTACAAGAAAAGAAATGTGATCATGGCATAACATGTGGCTCATTAGTGAAGAATAATGTAATTACTGAATAAAAGATTGATCTGTATTGGGAGGATGAGGAGAGGAATGCTGCGTGTGTATGTACAGGAGTGTAGGTGTGTAGATATGTGTAGGAAGGTCAACTTTCATTAGGATTGTGGTAGAGACTCCTGGCTGCCTACCCTAATATTCATTCTCCCTTGCTCCTTAGTAATAGAACTGTGGATATATATTTGGGGACTAATCTTCCCAGTTAAAACTACATTTCCCAGCTTCACTTGCAGCTAGGCATTGCCATGTGTCTAAGTTTAGCAGAAGTATTTAATGCTACTTCCAGAAATCTCCTTAAAAGGCACGGAGTGAGCCATTATTCTCTTCCTGCCAGTGGTCTGGAATGGGAAAGTAATTGATGGAATTTCTGCCATTATCATGGTCTATGAAAATAAATTACATGCACCAAAGATGTAGAACAGAGAGTTGGAAGGATCCTGAGGCCTTGATGGCACTATAAAGCTACCATATCAACATTAGACTGGCTACCAGTACATTGGTTTTATGCAAGATAATACACTCTTGTATCTTAAGCCATCATATTCAGGTCTCAGTTATATGTAGCAGAACCATATATTAACTAAATTGCAATTCACTAGATAATACCTAAAATGAAATATTAATAAATAACAGTACAAGCATAGTATTTAATTATAGAAGTAAATATAAACAGGAAGAAAGTTGAAAGTAGTTGGTTTGGGCAGTAGGAATTGGGGTAAAGGTCAAGGATCACTTTTTTCTTATAACTTTTAATCTAATAATTGACATTTTAAGTTATGTCTTACTTGAATAAAAATAGGTTTATATTTCTTTAGTTACATTTAACTTGATATTTCAAGTAAAAATATGTGTTCATTGTAAAAATTCAAACAGTACAAAAGAAAGATAGTAAAAGTTATACCTCCCTTGAGTGTTCTTTGTCTGTCCACTGCCCATCAGTTTTACTGTCCTCCCCAGGGGTAATGGCTGTTTGATATGTGTCTCTCCATACTTTTTCTATACACCTATTAAATATATAGAGAGATGCACAGTTTTCTTCTTTTATTTATTTTTATTTAAAGTGTATTTAAATATTAATTTACGAAAGTATGCATGAGGAAATACTTAGGCTTGTAATAGATGTTGTTTGTTTATATTTTAGAATCCAAGCTGGAAGCATGCAGTTAAAAAATCAGCAAAATGAAATTCAAAGACTACAGAAAGAATTGAATCATTTACAACATGAGTTAAATATTAAACAGAGACAATCACAAGTCTTCAGGTAAGATTATCTTTACTTAATTGAAAATTATAAAGGTTGAAAAGAAACATTTAATACTAACTTTATAAACATTCAAACACAATGTAGTAGTATAGTTTCTATATTCAGTGTGGTTGAAAAAAATTGAAATAACTTCACTTGTTTTTTTGTTTTGTTTTGTTTTGTTTTTTTTACCATGATCACAACTGAATAGTTTTACAATTAAAATTTAAATCAGGCAAACACGTTGTTCTTATTTTGCACTGACTTTCAGATTGAAAACACAGTAAATAATACATTTTCCCTTTGACCAGTATTTCTTGGTGTGTTTTATTTCCTGGCATAAAAAAATAATAGAATAGTGAAACTTTCTAAATATAGTAATAAAAATGCTAAATTTAGAAATCTTCAACATAAATGGTATTAATTCTGCTTGTATATAGTCTTTGGAGGTTTATGATACCTAAAGTTAAAATCCAGTGTTCTAAAGTACATTTTCTTTTCTAACTCTAAAAGGGAATTGAATATATAGAGAATATTAGAAAGAATGAATTTTTAAATTGAGTAACTTTTTAGCTCTTAGAAAAGGAAAGTAAGTTAAGTGAACATTACAAATAGACACAGGGTCAGGATGACTAAAAAATATGCTGGATGAATGTTTTAAACATTAGGTTCTTTTTCTTTTTTTCTCATCTACTACTTATTGCCAGAAACATTGTTCTATTTTCAAAAATTTGGGGGTCTAATAATTTTTTTGACTTTTTATTTTTATTTATTTCTTTCTTTATTTATTTTTAATTGAATTTATTGGAGTGACATTGGTTAATAAAATTACGTAGGTTTCAGGTGTACAATTCTATAATACAACATCTATGTTTTTTTAAATTTTTTTTATTGCTTAAAGTGGGGGGCTAATAATTTTTTAAAAATTTGATTTTAGAGAGAGTAAGGGGGAGAGACAGAGAGAAACGTCCATGTGAGAGAGAAATATTGATTGGTTGCCTCCTGCATGTGCCCCGATTGAACCTGCAACCTGGGTATGTGCCCTGATTTGGAATTAAACCCACCACCTTTTGGTGTATGGGGCAACACTCCAACCAACTAAGCCACACCAGCCAGGGCTGGGCTAATAATTTTTTATACACCACCTGGTGATAACCTGCTGGCTATTTACCTTTCATAAATGCCTTGCACATGCATGATGCTCAATAAATAATCTTTGAATAAATAAATGAGTCTACTCACAAAACAGGTGACCGTTTTTGTCTTCTCTGCTGTTTCCTAGAAATCTGGCATTGAGCCAGCAGTTGAACCCAACTCGCCATTTCCATCAGGATGATCAGTATTCAAGCTTGGCTTCTACAATAGCTTTGGCACAAGTCTTCTAAGTTACCTATATTTACTTTTAAAAGATTCCTACTATTAATCTTTCAAAAATTGTTTTAAATATAAAGTACTTGTCATTTTTCTTATTTGCAAAACTATTTAGACTCTGTCATCTTTGAAATTTTTCATGCCAGTTCCCAAAAATCTCTCCTCATTGCTCTCTTACTTTCAAGTCAACTCTTCGGGCTCATTAAGGTTTCCAGTATTTTTCTCTGATTTTTCCCAACCATTTTTTGGCTTTTTTTTCTTGTCTTAATCCCATAGTTAAATCACTTGACTTTTTAAAAAGCAGCTTTATTGAGACCTAATTGCATACTATAAAATCCACACATTTTAAGTGGCAATGCAATGATTTTTAGTAAACTTACTGAGTTGTGCAACCCACAAAGATCTTCATGCCATTTGCATTTAGTCTCTGCTCTTACCACCAGTCTTGGCAACCTTCTTCCTGTTTCTATAAATTTGCACTTTTGGGGACATGCCAGATATGTGGAATCATATCATATGTGGTCTTTTACATCAGGCTTCTATCACTATGTTTTTGAGAGTTATTCATGTTGTATCATGCATCAGCACTTTGTTTCTGTTTTTATTGCGTTAATAGTTTCCATTGTGTGGATATACCACATTTTACTCATCCATTTACCAGTTGGTGGACTTTTGGATTCTTCCCACTTGACACTTACGAATAATGCTACCGTACAAGTCTTTGGATGTATGTTTTATTTCTTTTGGGTTAATCCCTAAGTGTGGCATTACTGAATTATATGGTAAATTTAAATTTAGCTTTCTAAGAAACTGCCAAACTATTTTCCACGTGGCTGCACCAGTTTATAGTCCCACAAGGAATGAGGATTATAGTTCCTCTGAATTCTTTCCAACACATCTTATTGTCTGTCTTTTTTATTATAGCCATCCTAGTGGGTGTGACATGATATTTCATTGTGGCTTTGGTTTGTGTTTCCCAAATGACCAATGATGGTGAGCACCTTTTCTTGTGCTTATTAACCATTTGCGTATTTATTTGGTGAAATATCCATTAAAATATTTTGCCTAGTTTGTCAATGGTCTGTTTTCTTATTATAGGATTGTAAGAGTTCTTTATATGTTTTGGGTGAAGTCCTTTATTTGAAGTATGATTTGCAAATATTTTCTCCCAGCCTATTGTTCATGTTTTCATTTTTGTAACAGTTTATTTTGATGAGCAAAAGTTGTTATTTTTAATAAAATAAAATGTATCAATGTTTTTCTTTAATGGGTTATGCTTTTGATAATGTATCTGAGAACTCTGACTAACCAAAGGTCACAAAGATTTTCTCCTGTAGTTTCTTCTGACACTTCTATAGTTTAGCTCTTACATTTTATGACTGATGTATGGCAAGGATCTAAATTATCTTTTTTCATGTGGATGTTCAATTGTCCCAGCATCATTTGTTTAAAAGACTATTCTTTCCCTATTGAATTGTCTTGGTGCCTTTACCTAAAATAAATGCACTATAAATGTAGGGAATTATTTCTGGACTCTATTCTATTCCATTAATCTATATGTCTGTTCTTATGTCAGTACCACACTCTCTTGAATACTGTAGTTTTTTTGTGTTTTTTTTAAATATATTTTATTGATTTTTTTACAGAGAGGAAGGGAGAGAGATAGAGAGTTAGAAACATCGATGAGAGAGAAACATCGATCAGCTGCCTCCTGCACATCTCCCACTGGGGATGTGCCCACAACCCAGGTACATGCCCTTGACCGGAATCGAACCAGGGACCTTTCAGTCCGCAGGCCGACGCTCTATCCACTGAGCCAAACCGATCTCGGCGAATACTGTAGTTTTTAGTAAATTTTGAAATCAAGAAATATAAGTCCTCCAAATTTCTTTGTTTTTAAGATTGTTTTGGCTATTATGGGTCCCTTGCACTTCCATATACATTTTAGGATCAGCTTATTCATTCTAGCAAAGTAGCATGCTAGGATTTTGATAGGTATAGCATTGATTCTGATGATCAATTTAATTTTCATCTTAAAAATATTGAATCTTAATTCATGAACATGGTATGTCTTTCTATTGAGATCTTTAGTTCTCTGAGAAATGTTTTACTTTTAATATACAAGTCTGCACTCCTTTTACTAAATTTATTCTAGGTGTTTTGTTCTCTTTCATCTGGTTATGAAAGGTATTGTTTTCTTAAATTTGGGGCGGGATTGATTGCTGTTATGCAGCCATAAAAATGATTTTTGCATGTGGATCATGTATGCATGTGACTTTGATGAACCCACTTATTAGTTTTAGTATGTGTGTGCGTGTGTGTGCTTGTGTGCTTGTGTGTGTGTGCGTGTGTGCGTGTGTGTGTTGTGTGTGTGTGTGTGTGTGTGTGTGTGTGTGTGTAGGATATAGAAGATGCTTCTCCATAGAGAATGTTTCTACATAGAGGATGTTTCTGCCTAGAGGAGTTTACTATACTTCAACTCCTTTTACCTCTGTTCATTTAATTATCCTTAAAGCCCTCAGTCTTCATTCTAATGCACAGATTGTTAAACACCAGGCCCTCCAATACTATTCTAAATCCTCACTGTTCTGTTTAGACTTCCCGGTGCTACGCATCTCTCAGTAGTTCTGTGTCTTGCCTCATATTTCACAGAGAAAATTAAGGATATCACAACGTGCAGATTTACTGTGAATGAAATAATGTTTAAGTTTCAGAACCCCTTACTCAGGACCCCCTTTCAAGGTTCTTGGAGGGCCCCCAGCAAAGTAAGATAGTTTGATAGTAATTGGTTAAAAATTCTGTCTTTTTCTACTCTGATTTCTCCTCTTTTACACTTCTGATATCAATATGCCATTGGAATAGTCATAAGCATTTGGGGCTGTAAGGGAAAGATGAGTTGGGAATACTCTGTTATAACTGCCATTTAGAAAGACATTTTAGAATGCTTCAATAGCACAATTAAGGAATTACAGACTAAAATTTTGGATGTTCATGAATTTTCAAAAATTAATGGAATAAAAGCAATAAAAATAAGCAATTTCTGCAATAGAAATTATTCTGGCATAAACAAATGGTAATGATGCTTTTTCATGTTACATCACAAGCAAATGAATTAAGAGAGATACTTTTTTCAATAAGAGCTCTTAGAGTATTTCATAATCCATTTAATGAAGAAGAGTTAATTATTTAAATACTTTGGAGAAATATTTAAGTTTCTTGCTGATTTGACAAAAACTACTAACATCACTGAATATAACATAAAAGTCATATTATACAACATCAAGGACATCTAAAATAAACTGGTTCATGAGTTTCATTCTTTTTCTTTTTAAGCCAATATTTTTAAATATAT